TGAAAGAAACGGGAAAAAGACGAAATAGGGAAAAGACAAAATAGGAAAAAGACGAAAAAAAAATCGCCAAAAATGGAAAAGGAGGAAAAAGGTCGGGTCATTACAACCTACCCTCCTTAAAAGGATTTCGTCCCCGAAATCAAGTCGTACCTAAAAAGGAGAACAAATGGGGATACCGTGAGCGAACCTCCTATTCGAGCTCCCAGGTAGCCTCCTCAACACCGTGATGTCTCCATAAGACCTTAACCAATGAAATGGTCTTGGTCCGCAAGACCTGCTCCCGTGAATCAAGAATCTGGACCGGACCTTCCTCGTAGGTCACATCCTCATCAACAACCACATCAGTCCACCGCAGAACATGCGATGGGTCTGGCTCGTACTTCCTCAACATAGAGACATGAAAGATATCGTGAACCCTATCTAGGTCTGGCGGCAATGCCAAACGATAAGCAACTTCACCGACGAGCTCCAAAATCTCAAATGGTCCGATGAACCTAGGCGACAACTTGCCAGTCTGCCGAAATCTCAGGAGCCCCTTACGCAGAGAAATCTTAAGAAAGACATGATCCCCTACCTCAAAAGACAATGATCGCCTCCTCCTATCAGCGTAACTCTTTTGTCTACTCTGTGCGGTAGCCAACCGCTGCCGAATCAACTTGATCTTCTCTGTAGTCTCAATAACAATGTCGGAACCCAAGGCAACAGTATCACCGATCTCGGTCCAACAAACTGGAGATCTGCAAGGTCTGCCATACAACGCCTCAAAAGGTGCCATGCCAATACTGGCCTGGTAACTGCTGTTGTAGGCAAACTCAACTAAAGGCAAGTAGTCCTCCCAACTACCCCTAAAATCCAATATACAAGCCTGCAACATATCCTCCAATACCTGAATGATGCGTTCCGACTGTCCATCAGTCTGATGATGGAATGCCGTACTAAAATGAAGCCCCGTGTCAAGAGCCTCCTGAAAGCTCTGCCAAAAGTAAGAGGTGAACCACGGATCCCTATCCGAAATAATGGATATAGGAACCCCGTGAAGCTTAACAATCTGTCTCACATACAGTCCACTCAGTCTCTCTGCACTATCTGTCATTGCCATTGGTAAGAAGTGAGCCGTCTTAGTCAACCTGTCAACTATGACCCAAAAGGCATCATTCCCTGCCTGAGACTTCGGAAGTCCCGTCACGAAATCCATAGTGATATGCTCCCATTTCCACTCAGCTACTAGTAATGGTTACAACAATCCTGCCGGTCGCTGATGCTCTGCCTTCACTTGTTGACAAATAAGGCATCGAGCCACGAATTGTGAAACATCCCATTTCATGCCCTGCCACCAAAACTGTCGTTGCAGATTGTGATACATCTTTGTACCACCAGGATGAACTGCGAGCCTAGAGTGGTGGAAATCCCGAAGAACGTCCTCACGACAAGACAATGGAACAAACATCATCCCCTTGTACCTAAGACCACCGTCTGAATGTAAGGTCCAACCCTCTACATTCTCGCCGCCTGAAATCCAAACATAAATGGCCTTCATCTCCCCATCCTCCAACTGTGCCTCAATAACTCTGCTAACAAGTGTCGGTTGAGCCACAAGGCTAAACAAAATAGCCTGTGAAACATCCTCATAACACTGTAAACCAAGATCTGCAAGCTCTTCTAGCATCTTCCATCTATGAAGGGAAATGCTAGCAAGAGTTCCCCGTGACTTCCTACTCAATGCATCGGCCACCACATTGGCCTTACCCGGGTGATACTGTAATTTAAAATCGTAACCCTCCATAAACCCAACCCATCTGCGCTGTCTCAAGTTCAAATCCTTCTGAGAGAAGAGATACTTGAGACTTTTGTGGTCGGAGAAAACTTCAAACTTCTCCCCGTACAAATAGTGTCTCCACCCCTTCAGGGCAAAGATAACTGCTGCTAACTCCAAATCATGTGTTGGATAGTTCAACTCGTGAGTCTTCAACTGTCGTGACCCATAAGCAACTACCTGCTCTGTTTGCATCAAGACACAACCCAAACCTTCTCGTGAAGCATCACAAAAGATCACATAACCTAAACCACGTTCAGGAATGATCAAAACTGGAGCCAATGTCAACCTGACCTTCAACTCCTGAAAAGCAAACTCACATGCCTCGTTCCATACGAACTTGACCCCCTTGCGGGTAAGTCGAGTCATAGGTGCTGCTAAACGAGAGAAATCCCGAACAAATCTCCGGTAATAGCCGGCTAGGCCAAGAAAACTCCGAATCTCAAACACTGTCTTTGGACGCTCCCAATCCATCACTTACTCAATCTTCGTTGGATCCACTGCAACACCGCCCATTGACACAACATGTCCAAGGAACATAACTTCTGGTAGTCAAAATTCGCATTTCTTGAACTTGGCGTATAACCGATTATCCCTAAGGATCTGCAACACTGTCCTCAAATGATACTCATGCTCCTCCACCGAAGCTGAGTATACAAGAATGTCATCAACAAAGACTACAACGAATTGATCAAAATGGTCACTAAATACATGGTTCATTAAGTCCATAAAAGCTACTGGAGCATTGGTCAAACAATGGCATCACTAGAAACTCATAATGGCCATACCGTGTGCGGAAAGTGGTCTTAGATACATTCTCATCCTTAACCCTCAACTGATAGTAACCCGATCTCAGATCAATCTTCGAAAAGCATGTCGCTCCCTTCAACTGATCAAACAAGTCATCAATCCTAGGCAAAGGATACCTGTTCTTGATTGTGACATGGTTCAGCTTGTGATAATCGATGCAAAGTCTCAAAGACCCATCCTTCTTCTTCGTAAAAAAAACCGGTGCTCCCCAGGGTGAAGCACTAGGACGAATAAAGCCCTTAGCTTTCAAATCATCTAATTGAGCTTTCAGCTCATCAAGCTCTGCCAGTGCCATACGGTACGGTGCCATAGAAATAGGTGCAGTACCGGGAATGACATCGATGGCAAAGACAACCTCCCGAAGAGGAAGGAGTTCTGTCAACTCCTCTGGGAAGACATCCAGAAACTCGTCTACAACTGTCGGAAAAACACGGCCCAGACTGCTACCCTCGTCAACTAACAGGCTAGCCAAGTAGGACCTGTGGCGACTCTAGTCACCGATACTGAAAATCATCGTCGGGTGGGAATCGCTCCGATCTCCCATGAAGTGAAAACAATCCCTCGCGGGAGTGCAAACAGACACTCGCCCACGGAAGTAATCAATCGTGGCACGAAAGAAAGATAACCAGTCCATCCCAAGAATGACGTCAAAACCCGTCATGTCGAAAACAACAAAATCAAACTCCAACGTCCGTCCAGCTATCTCGATAGCACAACCCCGACAAACACGATCCAAAAACACTGGACCACCAACTGGTGTGTCAACACAAAGGAAACCATCCCACTGCGTGACCTCCAGACCCAAAGAATGTGCAAATGATGCAGATATGAATGAATGTGATGCACCTGTGTCAACAAGAACTCTAGCCTAAGAACTGAAAATTGGAAAGATACCTCAAACTGTAGAAGTCCCTGCGGAGGTATCTACCTGTGGCAATGCGTAAAGCTCGTCCCTGAGCCCCTGATTGCTGTGAACTGCCCTGCTGAGCTGACCGATGTCCGGAAGCAGTGGGTGTAGGGTTCCTACAAGGATACGAACTGACTGGTGCAACTGGCTGTGGTGCTTGAGGCACCCTGAAACCTGACTGTGCAACTGTCGACTGTGCCGGTGTGGCCTGTGGGCCTGCGCCACTCTGTGCCCTATTCTGTAGGCGCGAACACTCTCTCTTGAAATGTCCAGGCTGCTTGCAGTAATTACAAACCCCCTGAAGTCCCTATGTCGAAGCTGAAGACTTACTAGTTTGAGAACGACTGCCCTGAGACTGCAACTGTGGGCAACGAGGCTTGATGTGCCCCGGCTGCTGACAGTGGTGACAAATGACTCCCCGGGCTGACCCCGAAGATACTAGACCTGCAGATGTAGACCGAGTCTACTGTGACTGTCCCTGAGTGCGTGAACTGTCCCCAGCCTTACCCTTCTTCCACTGACCCCCAACGGATACCGATGAAGCCTCTCCACGTGGCTGCTTATATGAACCCTTGATCCTGAGCTGATCTCGGTCCTCTGCCTCAACTAGCATAACCTTCTGTACTACCTCCCCATAAGTCCTCAGATCTAACACCGAAATTCATGGCCTAATATCAAGATGTAACCCATCCTGAAACTTTTTCGCCCTGAGCTCATCGGTGGCTACCATCTCTGGTGCATAACGGGAAAGAGAAGTGAAGCGTGTCTCATACTCAATGACATTCATCCTGCCCTGATAGAGACCTGTAAACTGCACTCTCATATCATACCTCATAGCCCTTGGAAAAAAGCGGTAAAAGAACAATGTCCTGAACTCCTCCCAAGTCATCACCTCCACATCGTGGATATTGGTCATAGACCTCCACCAAATATCGGCATCTCCCATGAACATAGAGGCTGTCAAGGAGATCCTCAATCGGTCTGTAGGTACTGCCATGTTATCGAGCTTGCGTACCATGAGATCAAACCATGCCTCTAAAGCAAGCAGATCCATACTCCCTGCAAACCGGTCGATCTTAATCCTCTGTAACTTCATGAAGTAGTCCAATGCCTCATTAGCAACTAGTGCCGGTGCTGGTGCCGGTACTGGAATCTGTATCCCCGCCATTTGCTGGTGAAACATCACCTGAATGGACTTTGACATCCCCAGAGCCACTCCTTGTGCAATCTGCTCCTCGTAAGTCGGAGCTCATGGTGGATTTGGACCTGTGCCACGAACTGGAATCCTAGGCCTCCCTGGACCCCTCGTAAACTCGGTGTCATCCACCTACTCCTTAACGCCCTGACGCGAAGACTCCCCACGTGTGACAACCATGATGCTAAACATATGCAATGAAAGAGGTCAACAATAACACAAGTTATTATGACCAAATGCAACTCGTACTATGAAAGTAAGAAATACGAAGCAAAATGAGGTATGTTACATACGGTCATGATAAGGCAATCAAGGAAGGCTGTATAAACAGTTAAGCATTTAAGAAATATGTCAAACAAGGATGCTTCTTAAACATATAAGCATACAAACATAGAGACATATCATAATAACAAGTATGTCACCAAGAAACATGTAATCATGTTATAATGCCAAAAACATGTTATCAAATGTATGCTAATAAATCAAAATACACTAACAAAAGCATGCTATGCACCCAAAACCCATCGTCCTAAGGTTTTCGAACCTAGGAGCTCTGATACCACTTGTGACGGCCCAAGTTTTGTAAACCCGGTGCGTCAGTGATGACCAAAAGATGACCCGATAACGGATCCGAAATGCGGAAGCGAAAGGTGAAACAACGGTCTCTAGAGATACAATGCATCTCTAAGACACCAATGTGACCCTCAATGAGGTCATGGAACCCAAAGGAAAACCAATGCGGAAGAGTCGTTTCAAAAACGGACAAAAAAGAACCTAGGGGCAAAATGGTCATTTTGTAAAAAAAAATGGATTCAAGTGCTATCGAGCACACCACTGGAAAGAAAATGAAAAATTAATCAATTTAAAAAAAAAAAAAACTCACTTGATTTGGAGTCTGGATGAGGGAGAAAGGTTAAAAACAAAATCGACGTCGCGGCGGCCCGACGAAGGCCGTGACAGCTACAATGCCGTTACCCACTACTACTGCAACTGAGAGTAAAAACGGGCATCTAAACAGACTTTTCTGGAAAAACTCAAAGAAGAAACCCCCCCTAAAATCAAGTTTTCTACCTGACTCATGAACGGAAACCACAAAAATGCATTGCAAAAGGTCCAAAATACCCTCAAGAAAATCAGGTCTAGAGGTCAAAAATCGTTCCAAGCTACTGCCCAAAGAAAGGAAATGGGGCTTCGGAAGGTTTTTAAATTGCCTAAATTAAAAATGCAATTTTAAAATACACCCAAAAGACCCCCGGAAGTTTTGGATCGGTCGTCACGCTTTTCAAAAAAAAAGTCGATGAATAGTACCAAGTATATTTGCACTAAAGTCGGCAAAAACCTGGCAGCAATGATTTTTCGGAAAAAAATTGATTTTTGAGGGCCAAGATGGCAGTTTCTGGAAAAACACAAAGAAGAAACCCCCCTCAAAATTGAGTTTTCTATGTGACTCGTGAGGAAAAATGAAAAAAACGTATTTTGAAATACCCGAAATTTTCCTAGAACAGAATAGGGTAAAACTCCCTAAAAATGCTACTTAGAGTTTTTGTTTCATCAATGATGGTTTTGTTTGTCAAAGTGAGCATGCAAGCATATATAATGTGATAAAATAGATGTGTTGCAATGGCCTATGACCTCATGGCATGTCATATGCAAAATAGAACCCTTCAATGCATTAATCCACATATCTTCCATAGGCAACAATGAAGTTCAAAGTTAGCATACATTTCACATAAGTGTATTTGGCCCTTGGCCTCATTACAACAACATTCTAAAAGTGTCAAAAGGTGCACTTAAGTGCATATTACATAACTTAGATAATAAGTATAAGTTTTATCAAAGTAAGCAAAAGTAGGACAAGATATGCTAACATATGCATATTCTATGTCATCAAAATATACTTCAAGAACTCTAGTGAGTCTAAGAATGCTGTGCATCCCACACTAAGGCTTCTTTACTTGCAAAACACCCATTAACTTAGGGGTGAGTAAACAAGTTTACTCGTAGGGAATGCATGGGTTTATCTTTGTACCAAGTTACAATCCAATACCATTTAATTTATGCTATCAAGTGACAATAGAACTTTCAACATAACACAATGAGATGTAATTTTACAAAGTTAACAACTTGGAATTTAAATGCCAAATCAAACCAAAGAGGATACTTGGACGTCACGCCGGATCAAACCGACAATGTTGTTACTTTAGGGTTACTAGCTCGTGGGTAACCTCCCTATGTGCGCACTAGACTTGTAAAGGGACTTTCCCCCGTACTAGAACCATGCCCTAGCCATAGTCATAACAACGACATCCCCAAGTTTCCAAAATCAACATTTTGTGCACATTACATATATGTATCAACATAACATATATATATATATACAATGTAAAGCCATCAACATGCACAAATCAATTTTGGAAACACAATACATGCCCTAAGTTCTCAACTAAAATGTCATGAAGAACATTGAATGATCATTATGCTATTTGCCACTAATTACAACAATATCATTCAACAACAAGAACATAACCTCACAAGTATGATATAAGTTAAAAATCATAATTTAAACAATTTAATAAAACAACTAAATTCCATAGATTTCACTTCTCATCCAAACATGCTCAATTTAATATGTGTTGTAGTACATGTCATGGTTATTATATAAATCACTTCAAAACTTGATTTAAGTCATGGGAGCATATAAATAAAAATTAATTATATTAATTCATTAATCCCTCTAAATTTTAAAACAACTCTAAATGACCTCAAATTAACATAAGTTATGAATCAAGCCATGGTTATGTTATTTATCAAGTCTAAAGTGAATTACATACAAGTCACAATTAATCATTTATTTCTCATTTTAATACAAGACAAACATATAACTTAGATATCACTATAGGAACAAATAAAATCACTTGGAAGATAAATGATAACACCCCCTACCTCAATAGAGAATTGAATCTCTATAATCCAAGCAACCAAGCTCAAAATGGAAAACAAGTTTAGGGTTAATGAAGAGGGGAGTGAGAGGAAGCTTTTGTCTTCCAAGGTTTTATATCTAAGGTGAGTGGAAGGAGGCCAAAATGAAGAAAAAAGCTATTAACCAAGCTTTTCTCCAATGATGGCTAGGTTATGGTTCTTGAAGACAAGTGAAAATGAAAATGATAAAGTGTAAAATGGTGAGTGGAAGGGCTAGAAATCCTCCACTCACTATGTGCTCTTATACTACCTCTCTCACACACATAATGCAAGACTAAATGGTGAACCTACACTTGTCATGAATCTATGGTTCATTCCTAGGCTTAATCTCAAGCCTACACTTGTCACCATCCTATGTAAACTTCCAAGACTTAATATTGAACCTACATTTGTCAACCATCCATGCCAACAAGTGTACCAATCCTAGGCCAACAAGTGGGTGAATCTCCACCCTCCACATGTCATCATCCAACGCATCAAAGTATTTCCACACAAATGTCAACAAGTGGACCAATGAGAGTGTGACACTTGTTACACTTTTCGAAAATTGCAAACAAGTCATTTTTGAAAATATTTTCCAAATTAAATTGCAAAATGGTCCCTAAGACTAAAAATAATTACTTTACTTAATTACCCAAAAACCCCTCAAGTTATGGATAATTATAAAAAGTCTTGTTTTCATGACTTTTACAAAGAAAGTAAGCATTTAATATGCATTTCTACAAAAGTAAAAATGTAGATGTCATGGAATTTAAATACCATGAATGCATGCAAAACCGGAATCAAATCCGAACACAACAAGTAAGGTTATGCAAGGAAAAATGAAAGAAACGGGAAAAAGACGAAATTGGGAAAAGACAAAATAGGAAAAAGACGAAAAAAAAAAAATCGCCAAAAATGGAAAAGGAGGAAAAAGGCCGGATCATTACAATGATTGTTTTTTTTTTTTTTTTTTTATAGATTCTGTAGAATTGAATTTTAAATATCCATAAATTGAATAATATATTGTTTCTTTCTTTTTCATAGGATCATCTATTTTATCTAGAGTTTCTAAAATAATATTTTCTTCGTTAGAAAGAACATTAATACGTAAATCATCTATATTTAAAACTGCCTTATAATAGTTATATTTTTGTCTACATGGGGAACAATTTTTCTCACTTTCTTTTGGTTCACCAGAAGATCCCTCAAATGTAGAATAAGTTGTAAAATGATCTGAATTCTTTAGATTCTTTAGATTCAGAATCTTTTAGCAAAAAAATATTATTAGCAACTTGTTACTTTAATTCTTCACGTAGGTTTAATTTTCTAACTTTTTCTTTGTGAATCATTTATCCTTGAGCAGGTCTGGTTTTAGAATATTCAAATTGGATTCAACATGTGGTTTCTTAAAACTACATTTTACCAACTCTAAGAGTCCTAATCATCTTTTCCAATTCAAATTTAAATACTATCTTTTTAATTTTAGACAATACTTATCTAATCACTGGTAAGTAAGTTATTCGATGTAATCCAATTACAAATGAACAAATAGTTTATAGTTACAAAATCTAAAAACTGATAAATAAAGACAATACTTATATTTATTTACACATGTCAATCTTTTTTAACACTAATTAATATATTTTAAAGTTTATATATGCAGCATGCACATATGTTACTACCTCCATCCCATTTTAAATGTCCACTTCAAGAAATCACAGTTGATCCCGAAGTTGACATTTAATATGAAATAGAGGGAGTATCACTCATTGATACGGTCTAACTTTCAAGACAATCTTTAGTGAAGCACCCCTTAATGTTAAATTCTAAACACACACATTAATCTACAAATGCAACATAAAAAAATAAGGTAAACATATATGTGTAGAAAACTTAATACCTTTTATTAAACTCTCGAATCCATTAATTTAGGGCCCGTTTAACAATCACAGTTACGTTGTATTTTTACTTTGACCCCAAATAGAAGTAATATTTCTGCTTTAGAGTGTGTTCAACATTATTTCGAAACTTGTTTGGTAACGTAAATTTGTTACAAGATTTTTGGAAGCAAAAACATGAAAGTATGTTTGGTAAAAAGTGTTGTAAGTTTGAAAATTTGAATTAATGACTAGTAAAAAATGTTGATATAGAAAGAAAAAATTTTTTACAGTGTTTTGCTATAGTGCGGAAGCAAACAAAAGTATTATTTTGATGCTTCTGATTTTGGTCTTAATTTTGGAAGTGCTTCGATACTATTTAAATGATGGCAAACGTTACCAAACATGCTTCATATTTTTGCTTTGCTATAGTATACTAGCAAAAGCAAAAAACACAAAGCAAAAGTATTAACTATACTTAGGGTGCATTTAGTAACGTTTTCATTTTCTATTTTTGCAGCCTTAAGAAAGCATAAATATGATTTTGTTTTCTTGAGTGAAAATAGAAAACAGAAATAATGTTTATTAACATTTGTTGTTGCTACAAATTTGAAAACCTAAAACAATAATTGTGTTTAGTAATACAACATATTTGTTACAAAATGTACATAATATTCTTTAATTTTTAATTTTTATTTTTTTTAATTTTTATTTTATTTTTTTCATGACAAGAATTTTAGGAGTTAGTTATTAGAGGGGAGGGTAGATGACTTGAACACAAACTCTCGGACACAGAGAGCAACACAACCACTTTGGCACGACATTTGCTTCCACTAATATAAAAAAGCCATAAATCTAGAAAGTCTAATTTAAAATTATAAATCTTAAAAATACTCAATATATCATAAGTACAAAATAAGATATACCAAGACAAAAACATTCCCACCAATTATGTATATAAATACATATATATGTATGATGTATACATTTATTATGTCATATATAATATATTTAGCATATGATAATTTATTATGAATAAAAAATATTAAATAATATATCTTATATGTAATAAAATATATATTGTGTTATAATATTATAAATTAATTATAATTTAATATATACGTATAATATAATATAGATATAATATATAATAATATAAAATATCTATTGCTTAATAATTTAATAACATTATATTCTATATCAAAAATTATTTCGTCACAAAAAAGCATTTACAATATTATTTAATATATTATATATTAAAATATATTTTTATCAAATAAAAAATAATATATTATTTTTAATTTATTCTATATTAAAAATATATATATTTATCAACATTTAATATACAACTTAGTATATAACACAAATAATATGAATTTTATTTGAAATGAATAGTGTCTGTGCACTAACATTAGTAAAAATGTGTCTTTGTTACAGTGTCGAAAATATAAGAAACATCGTTTTAATGTTTTTTCTTTTTTTCACAAAAATTGAAAACGTTTTCTGTTATAGAAAAATAAAAATATTTTATTGAACGCGACTTTTATTTTCGTTTACCCTTTTAAAGGTTGACAACAGAAAATAAGAAACGTTTCTTGTTTCTAAACGTAGTTTTAGAAAGACTAAATATTTGTCAAACATATCTAGCGCCACATAAATCTCTATAGATCCCTAATGTATCAAAATAGTAATTATTTTTAGATACCTTAGACTCCAAATAAACATTCATTGCGATAATAAGTTCTGACTTGGTGTGTGCTGATCATTGTTTTAATAAGTTGAAAATGAAATTAAATATTGTATATTATTTAATTTCATTTTCAACAACTTCACACCCACTTCGTGTGTGCTGATCATTGTTTGTGATCTTATAACCTGAGATGTGTGTCTGTGCGTTCCAACTACCAGGACCGGAAGTGGTACACCGTACATTTTTTATTTTTATTTTCTGGTAAATCATTAAACAACAGAGCAAACAGTACAAACACCGTGCTTTCTTTTTGTTAACATGCTGCTGATGATTAGCTTAAAAATCGGCAACCATCCCTCCGGTAAATGCTCCTGAATCCTCCACGTGTCACATGGAAAATCATAGGCCAATAAAATAGTTAAGCACATTCAACCATAGATGCAGCAAGCTCCCATTCAAAACAATGATTGAAAACCATTACTATATATTTAGAGTTGAGATGTCTTAATTAACCGTTCATGCATGTACGTGCTATGGTCCACCCTTTCCGCACCATTTCACATGGAGGGCTCTAGTAAATAAACCATTTCACATGCTTAATTTTGTAATTTTATTTTATTTTTTTAAACGTTGTTAATAATATATCTAATTCTTTTGCGGAGGAAAATGCTGTGGAAGGTTTGTTCCTTTATTTATTTTCTTCTCCATTTCTATCCGTCCAAGGGTGCCAACTAAAATGGTTTTGCATTTCATATATATACTTTGTAGTAACTAAGGATAACGAGTGAGCGCTTGTCCATTTATTTAAAAATTTAAACTATTGAGTAGTGTTGCATGCTTATTCATTTGTACCCAATCACTTTCTTATCTGGATCCGATGTGGGACAAATGACCATTGTTTCATTATCTCTCACCGAAACTCGCAATGCCCTAGTTGTGATCGGACCACTCTGCCTTTTTAGGTGAGTCACCCGGACGCCTTCCGGGCCTGGCACTTGGCGTGACATCAGATCAAAGATTGGGTCTGGCTCTGATACCAATTGTAACGGGTGGACGCTTACCCATTTATCCAAAAACTTAAATTATTGGATAGTACTGCATACTCACCAATTTATACCCAATCATTTTTTCATCCGAATCCAATGTAGAACAAATGACCTTTGTTACACTAAATATACACACACGCATTTAGAAAAATTGTGATTTTGTTTTGTGTTATGTCATACATTCACAATACATTTCAAGATTTTAAAAATGTGTTTTTTACCGATTCAAACTTCTTCAATTTGTTTGATTTTTTATTCAATTTAAAGAAACTTTTTTATTTTATTTTTTCATAATTCCATTGCTTTCGATCAAATTAAGATTAGAAAATAATTAAGCTAGATTTTTGCTCAATTAATTAAAGAATAATACTTGCATACTGTGCATGGAGGATGAACTCCTCCTTGCTGACGTGACCATCTAATATTCAAACACCTGTTCAAAATTAAAAAATAATAAAATATGAATAATACCAATTTGTGCGGGTTAAACCCGTTTCTCCTTATCACTACTTTCCTCTTCTCTTTCTCTCCTTTCTCTTCCACAACCTTGGCCAATCCAAGAGAGAGAGCATACCTGGAACAACCAGCTCCTGCTAGTTTCAGCCTTACCACCGCCGTCGTTACCACCGCCACCTCCTCTCTTCCCTCCTCATTCGGCGACCTCACACCCACTCTCTCCACCACCGACCTCCACGACACCGCCTACGAGATCTTCGTCGCTGCTTGCTGTACCTCCACCTGGAAGCCTCTCACTTACATTCCTACTAATTCCTGTAACTCCGACCGATCCCTATCCCCATCGCCGTCGTCGCTATCAAGCTCGCCGTCAATGCAACAATCGCTCACTTCGATCTACTGTTGCTTCCAAGGTCAAGAGGGTGTTAGGGCTCCGATCCAGTTCCAATTCGGGTTTCGCTTTGAAGAGGAGTGAGGGCAGTCCGTCGTTGGGCGAAAAGGTGAAGAAGCCGATGATAAATGGGGAGCTCATGAGGGTTCAAATGAGGGTTTCGTAGACTACGGACTCGAAGATTCGGAGGGCTTTACTGAGGATTTCAGTTTTTCATGTTCAATTTAGAATTTTGATGATTTGATCTGAAGCCATTGTAGAGAGAGAAAGTGGAAGGGAGAGGAGAGGAGAGGAGAGAGAAAGCATGGGAGGGAGAAAGAGAGAGAAGAGAGTAGTGATAAGGAGAAACAGGTTTAACTCGCATAAATGGATATTACTCATATTTTTATTATTTTTTAATTTTAAATAGGTGTCTGAATATTAGATGGTCACGTCAGCGCGAAGGATGAATGAACTTTATCCTCCTTACATAGGATGTAAGTATTATTCTTAATTAAAAGGGTAAAGTGCACTAAACCCCCTGAACTTTCTTCTCTTTCTCAATAAACCTTTCTAAACTATTTGAAAGACATTTAACTCCCTGAACTATTTTATTTGTTGCAAAGGTTAAGTCTGCCGTTAGAAATTTGACAGAAATGAAGGCATGCATGTCATGTGAGTGGTCCAAATTTTTAAAAAGACAAAATTAGCCCTACAACAGTTAAGGAATAAAATATAATATATATATATATATGAGAAATGCTAAAAAAAAAAGCCGACTACTGTTCACCCCATATTAGCCGACACACCCTTGTCAAATGCAGATTGGTGTAACTAGGCAGACGATTTTTCCCTTTCTTGACTCAACTTTACTTTCTCTCATCACTCTTTCAATCCTCTTTCTCCCTTCTCTCTCCGGCGGAGATCCTTCATCTCACTCGAACGCTCCCTCCTCCCTCCCTTCTCTCTCGGTTAATCAAAAGTTTTTTTTTGCTTTCTTGTGAAGACCTACTTCTTCCAAGTTCATCATCGCCGGGATTTCACTATCGGCAACCATAAGCCTCCGGCCGGTGCTTGTCTTCTCCATCGTCGACGTCTCCGTCGCTGATCTGCTTTCTTCTCCATAGTCAGATTCGCGAACCTTGATTGTGTCGAAACCATCAAACCGTCATGGTCGAGGGGGTAGACCCAGCTCCGCCTTTGCTACCCAAACCAGAGGAGACCAACACAATTCCGGCGACATCCACAGCAAACTGTCCTTGCCGTTATATCATCACCGCCGTAGTCTACCCACGCGTCGCTTCTTCGGCTGTGTCAAAGGTGCCTATCTAGTCGCCGATTTTTTTCGCGGGGAGGTTTGTCTTTGGTTTCTTCTTGTTGGATGACGTCAAGGAGCGGTGACATTCGGCGGTGAGCAGAGAGCAAGGAAAGTATGGCACTGAACTGGGTTTGCAGTTATCGCCGTCAGAGAAAAGGACTCTCATCGGTGACGAAGGCTGAGGACAGCGACCAGTTTGGAATAGCCGTGGCGGGCACAGAGATGACAGGTGGACAGCGAGCACGACAGTAGAGAACGGATTGAACGGCGGAACGGGTCAGCGAGCTTGATGCGGCAGTGAGAAAGATGGGGGATTGGCTTCCACGAGAACGAAGCGGCGGTGAGAAAAACGAGCGTGAGTGCAGTGAGACCAATTTTTTTTTTTTTTTTTTTTTTTTTTTTCTGACAATGAAAATGGGTCTCTGTTTCAGGTATTGGTTTTTATAGAGAGAAAGAGATTATTGGAGAGATAAAAATAGTTTTGACATAGAAGATGGGTTCACCGGTGGTTACGGAATGTTCACCGGAAAGATCGGTTCGTCGCTGATGGTTAGAGAGAGAAAGAGAGGAGGGAGAGAGAAGGGGCATCCGGTTCCAAAAAAAAAACAGTCTGTGCTTGCTGTCGTTCAGAGCACGCAGACGTCCTCATCGTCTTCATTTCCTGACTTTTTCTATCTTCATCTCTATCTTCGTCTTCCTCTTCTTCCTCCGTGCACACGTGAGATTGTTTAAAAAGAAAAAGGGTAGCAACAGTAAAGAAGAAAGAACAAGAATAGGAAAAGAAAAGAAAAGAAAAGGTTGATGTGCTGTCACCTTTTTATTGGACCTAAGATTCTATTTGCCACAACAGCAGTTGAAATTATATAGAACTTAAAAACGGTGTCGTTCAACTCAAGGATTAAAAAGTAATTTAATTTTTTTGTTAACGGACGTTTGCAACAAAATGCTACTTCAGGGGGTTTTACTTATTTCAGGGGGATTTCTTGCAATCGGGTCATAGTTCAAGGGGGTTTAATGCACTTCACCCTAATTAAAATATCAAAGCACCATTTCCCCTTAATTAACCCATTCTTTTTTTCTAAAAGAAATTTTTCATTGAAGGATTATGATTCAAGCCAATCTTTGCTTTTCAAGTTCATCCAATCCAAATTCATGAATAATGAAACCATTTACACTCCGTAAAGAGCATAGGATGTTGTCTATGTAACATCGTAACATATACATGGATTTATATATATATACATCATATAGAGACATAGACTGTCAACTTATCACATGTCTCCGTACATATCAAAACTAAACACGATGTTGAAGTAGTTAGGGGATAACGTGCATTTAAATATTAATATGTACTTAATAATAATAATAATAATAAATTGACTTATTAATTTAAAATTAAACATAACATGCATAATCTAAACTATACGTATATTTAGTGCCGTGATGTCCTCTTTAAAAACCTAGAGCCATCTGTACCATATCCCAACGGTCTCTCTCGATCTAACGCTACAGATCGATCTCAATCTGTAAGAAAGAATTAAGATGGCTAAGCTTGTAGTACTACCAGTTAATTATTGGACTGTCTCCCTTGTTTTTATAATTGGGTTGTTGTGCAGTAGCAGTACGTTGTCAAATGCAGCGGCAGCGTATAATAATATTAACGTGTTGAGTTTCGGTGCAAGGCCGGACGGACAAAGCGATTCGACGCAGGCATTTCTGAAGGCGTGGGCAGCAGCATGTGGGTCGGTGAAGGCAGTCACCATGTACGTCCCTCGAGGGCGTTTCTTGTTAAAAGCAGCAGTCTTCAGAGGGCCATGTAAGAACAAGATCAACGTTCGTATAGATGGAACCCTTGTGGCTCCTTCTGATTATCGTGCCCTCGGCAACTCTGGCTACTGGATGTTGTTCATTCAGGTCAACAGAGTTGACATTGTGGGAGGTACACTTGATGCAAAGGGAGCTGCCTTTTGGGCTTGCCGGACCTCTGGGAAGAATTGTCCAGTTGGAGCAAGGGTACGTATTACGTAAGTACATACATACCTGATACCTGTGTGTGTATATGTCTCTCACACACACACATATATATATTATAGGAGTATGCATGAATAGATTAATATTAATTATGGTATGAGTATTTATAATTTCTTGAAAATGCTAATAATTAGTAAGTAACACATACTCATACTATAAATATATTGGCCTGATCGATCTCATGTTGCGCATGCAGTCGATAACTTTCAACTGGGCTAATAACGTTGTGATCAGCGGCCTAACATCGATCAACAGCCAGACAATGCACCTTGTGATCAACAGCTGCAATAATGTGATGGTTCGTAATGTGAAGATCATTGCTCCGGATCAGAGTCCAAACACCGATGGCATTCACGTTCAGTCGTCTACCGGTGTCACCATCAGCAGCAGTAGCATAAAGACCGGAGATGATTGCATATCCATTGGTCCAGGTACCAGGAACTTGTGGATGGAGCGCATACAGTGTGGCCCTGGTCATGGCATTAGGTACCTAATCTAAGTAATTATAAAATTACTAGTAATTTATAGTGCATATATATATTAGTACAACTTTGGGCATATCATGCGCATAATCCGTGACGTGTGGTATCATAACGGGCTTAGTCCTTAGGCCCAGTCGTTAAAATATATATATTTTTTATTTTTATTAAAAAAAAATTATATAAACTTATCTTAATACAGCATTGGTAGTCTGGCCCGAGACGTGAATGAAGATGGTGTGCGGAATGTTACGTTAACAAATACCGTATTCACGGGATCCGACAACGGGGTACGGATAAAGTCATGGGCCAGGCCCAGCAATTCATTTGTGAGGAATGTTGTTTATCGCAACATCATTATGAAGAATGTCCAAAACCCTATCATCATTGATCAGAACTACTGCCCTAGCAACCAAGGTTGTCCTCGTCAGGTATATATATATATATATAGAGAGAGAGAGAGAGTTAGTGAGAGTTGATCACAACAACTATACATTCATATTTTATCCAATTCACTTAATACGTGTATATATTTTGTAGGACGTAGGTATATATTCATCATGATACTTTTTAAATATTTAATTTTCTTAAACAGAGTTCAGGTGTGAAGATTAGTGAAGTGACATACAAGAATATACAGGGAACATCAGCGACACAAGTTGCCGTGATATTTGATTGCAGTTCTAGTAATCCATGCAGAGGGATTCGATTGCAAGACGTAAAGCTTACTTATTTGAACAAACCGGCACAATCGGCTTGTAGGAATATAGGCGGAACCGCTAGTGGAGCAGTCGTGCCTGAGAGTTGTTTATGATATAACCATTTTTTCTTTTTCATTACAGTTGCTCGTGTAAATTTAAGGGGATTATTACTCCGTCAGAGAAAGTCTCCTCCATGCATGTAATTATTCAATAAGAAATGTTTTCACCTTCAATCTGTTTTATAGTGTTTTAAAATTAGGAGTATCTCGAATTAATTAAGTTTATTATATTATTAATTCAAACTCACTTTTTCATGTAGAAAATGGATGTATGTGTGTATATATATCTATTTACCCTATAAAAGTGTATTCTATTTGTATTTTTTATATACACTTTTTGTAATAATATTATTATACACTTCTCAATAACTACTGACACCTCTTTTAAAAGTCACCTTTTATTATTTATATACAATTAAATCATTTAATTTATTTTAATAAATAAATGTGACTTTTCAAATAACTATTGACACCTCTTCTAAAAGTCACCTTTTAACTGCACTAACACCTCTTCTAAAAGTCACATTTTAACTTGAAACACCTATATATAAAAGTGTATTCTATTTGTATTTTTTATATACACTTTTTTGTAATAATATTATATATTTCTCAAATAACTACTAACATCTCTTCTAAAAGTCACCTTTTATTATTTATATGCAATTAAATCATTTAATTTATTTTAATAAATAAATGTGACTTTTCAAATAACTACTAATACCTCTTCTAAAAGTTTTTCAAATAACTACTGACATCTCTTCTAAAAATCACATTTTAACTTGAAACACCTATATATAAAAGTGTATTATATTTGTATTTTTTATATACATTTTTTTGTAATAATATTATATACTTCTTAAATAACTACTAACACCTCTTCTAAAAGTCACCTTTTATTATTTATATACAATTAAATCATTTAATTTATTTTAATAAATAAATGTGACTTTTTAAATAACTACTAACACCTCTTCTAAAAGCTTTTCAATTAACTACTGACACCTCTTCTAAAAGTCACATTTTAACTACACTAACACCTCTTCTAAAAGTCACCTTTTAACTACAAACACCTATATATAAAAGTGTATTCTATTTGTATTTTTTATATACATTTTTTTGTAATAATATTCTATACTTTTCAAATAACTACTAACACATCTTCTAAAAGTCAATTTTTATTATTTATATGCAATTAAATTATTTAATTAATTTTAATAAATAAATGTGACTTTTCAAATAACTACTAACACCTCTTCTAAAAGTCACCTTTTAACTACACTAACACCTCTTCTAAAAGTCATATTTTAACTGCAAACACCCAAAATATATATATATCTAACATTCATATCACCCTATATCTCACTCCTCTCTATTTTTTTTCATCTCTCTTTGAAAAGAATTTCCTCACAAAAAATTTGTTAGAGGTTTCTTCTTTCACAAACAATTTCAACGGCTTTGAGAGGAGATTCGTCTTTTGGTTCATGTACATCAAATTACAACTCAAAACTCCTTTAAATTTTTTTTAAAGGTATGTTTTAATTTGAATTGAAGAACAATTTATATATTTTATCTTTCTATCTAATCATATATATATTTATATTTTCATACAAAATTAATACATGGGGACTTATTATATTTTATATGTTCTCCTAATAGTTCAGTTCTGGAATTTTTTTTTATTACGATGTGAAAGTAATATGCATGAATATTAAATTTGTTTTGTTCAGAAAAATTACATGGATAAAATATATGAAATATTGTATTTTATATGCAATGTACATGTGCAAGTATATATAGATAACTGACGTCTATAATCATTGATTAAAATGTCAGTTAGTTATCATAAAATTCTTTCACGAACGAATCATTATATATATATATATATATACAATACATAATTAATTCATGAGGAGTTTTTATATTTTATATGTTTAAGTGTATTCAATTTTTATTTTTTATTTTTTATTATTATTTTTTTTAACTAATGAGTCAGTGGCCTAACGGTATCAGCCTCTTACTTCCCAAAGGGAGGTTAGGGGTTCAAGTCTCATAAGAGACAGTTTGTGTGAGTACCAACTAGGAAATTTTTATTTTTTTATTATTTTTTTTATATACATTTCAAAATAAATTCTTCATCTTACAAAAATAGTACACTGTTTTTTTTTTTTTTTTTCCTCTCTCTCTCCAAAGAGTCGACATTTCCTTTTTAGTTTTTACACACGGTTTTGTTTTCTTACTTTCTTCTTTTTCCCAAAGAGTTCTTATTTTAAACAATTTTTAAATTTTAATTTAAATTAATCTTACATGCACTCTAGATTCTGGATTTCTCTATTGAAAAATCAACTTTAATTATGTGGATTTCTTTATTAAAAAATCAAATTGATATTTTACTGGATTATTATTATTTTATAAAGTTTTATTTGTACTATTTATGTTGTGTTATAACAAAGTGTTTTGGCTTCTTTATATCTTATTTGCGTATATACTGTGTTTATTTTTTCATGTTGCTTTTCTGTCTAATTCTGTATTCCTTTCTTGTTTAATTCTCTAGAAAATGTTGTTTTTTCATATACGTTCTCTACTTTGCCTAATTCTTTCCAAAGTATTTATGATTCTGTTATATAATGTCTTTATATTTGAAAGAGATTTTTGGAAGTATGTTCGGTGGAGATTTACGATAAGACTACTGAGAAATGAAGAAACACTTTAAAGGTACATTTAGAATAAAATGGTATTTAGTTCAATCAATTTAATATATTTATAACCCTTATAAAAGGGGATTCATTTTGTATTATTTATATGCACTAATTTTTTTAGTTTAAAAAGGAAACACAACTTTAAATATTTGTTTTCTCAAGAAACTTGATTTTTTAAATAATAATAATAATAATAATTAAACTATTGTAACAGACAGCTTCTAACTAACTGTAAGCACCTTCTCTATCCTAAAATAATAAATATTTTCTCAATCCTAGAATAGTAAATATTTTTTGTATTATCTATCTATCTATCTATCTATCTCTCTCTCTCTCTCTATATATATATATATTTACACATAGTTTTCAATTTACATTATACACCATTTGGATTTCTAAATATTACACCTTTTAGCATTTCAACGTTTTTTATATTTCCTGCCAATACATATGTACACATTTGAATTTCAACTATAAGAATAAAACACTTCAAAAGTTACCGTCTTAACTACTAACAGCTTCTTGCCAATGAAAAAAAAACTAACACCAAAATTATAAAATAAATAATGTATATATTCTGTTTACCATGCAGCCTGCTTTCATAAAGAGTTTCTTTTAAATTCAGATGTCTATAAAGAATACCTCTTTTTTAGATAATATCCAATTAAAATACATCTGTTCTTTATTTTAATTATTTTGTATATATTATATTTTTTAAATAATTTTCTCAATATAACAAATTTCAACGCGTTTTGATATTCCTTGCCAATACCCTTTTATATCTTTAGATAGATAGATTTCTAATACAAAAAATAAATTCCTGTCACCTCTTATGTTTTACATACTTTGCTTACTAAGTGACTGCTTTTACAAAAAAAAAATTCTTTTAAATTCAAATAGTTTTTATATTAAACATTTTTTCTTTCATGATGAGTTATTGTCAAGTTAAAATATATCACCTCCAATTTAAATTATTTTGTATATATATTTTTTTTAATAAAAAGTACGAGATTTGCTTTTTCAAAACTATTGAAAGTATATGTCGATTCAATCATATAAAAAAAGTAGACGTATATATCAATTCCCTAAATTACTCTGTTGCTTTCTCTCTCTCTCTCTCTTTCCCTCTTTCTATGCAAAAATTTATGTGCAAAAAATTATTAGAAGTTTTATTCACGTCACCTTTGAACCCATTTTGTTGGAGACACATCTTTGATTAGTTTGCATCATATTGGTTTTTAAGAAACTTCTTATAGTTGAACAGATATATCCTTTCACGACTAGGTGCGTAGTAGCCTATAAATAGTAGAGTAATCCAATAAATAAAATATACTATGTGTTTTACATCTTCCTCTTTGTTTATTTTCTAAACTTCCTTCCTTCGTCCATGCAATCAATAATTTATGGGCAAGATGATAATGGAGTACTTACGAATTTTAGTTGTTTAAAAAAAATTCCGATTGTGCATCGGGTCCCTAAATTTCAATTTAATGGTATATGTATTAATTCCATGTTTCAAAATCTACATATCTACTTTTAAAATCTATTGATATGAAAAAGTATAAATTTCAATCTACTGGCATTTATTTCCATGTTTTGAAATCTATTAATATGAAAAAGTAACGTGTCTATTTAGAGCGTTGGAAAAAGATATTGGATAAAAAAAAAAGTGTTGTGAAAGTGAAACATGGAGTTTTGTTTTTCATTATACTAAGTGAAATAGATAAGTGCATATTATACCTTTTATGAATTTAGAAACACTTTTAATAACAAACACTTTTAGAGAAATGAGATGGTTGATAGTTATAGATTCTATGTATGAATAAGCCGTAATACTTACTCTATATAATCTCTTTAATTTATTTTTAACCTTTTACTCTATATAATCTCTTTCATTTATTTTTAACCTTTTATATTCTTTCTTTTTACATAAATCTACTATCCTCTTACATACGTACCCTTGATGAATTTTAATGGTTTGAAAAATAAATTTCAGCTTTGTTTGAAAAACTTTATAGGTCTCTATATACATAATATGTTATTATGTATATTGTATTCTATTCAGTCATATATTAAAAAAAAAAAAAAAAAAATAGATATAAGACATGCAGGTATAATTATTAAAATTTTATTGCAAGTAACGTTTGGTCATGATGTAATGTTACCATAAGAATATTATGATTTCCATAAAATTTTGCATAAAAAGATTTTGAAGATGATAAAAAATGTGTTTTTAAGTCCTTATTATCTTTGAGATTAATAGTCAAATAGTACTCGGATGAATGATTGAATGATAACTTAAAATTTTGAATAAACCAAATTAATTTACACCTTCTATTCAATTATTTTAATTTCATT